TGTGTGTGTGTGTGTGTGTGTGTGTGTGTGTGTGTGTGTTGTGGACAGCACAGGAAAACAATGTCCTCTTGCATGGTGAAGTCCAGAAGTAGAAACCCATATGCAGCTGTTCAGGTGGACCCAGACAGCGCTTACATCACTCCAGGAACATTAGACCTTGAGCAGCTGTTCTGGACCGGCACCACAGCTCATTACACACACTTCAACGAGGTCTGGCCAGATGTCTACATCGGGGATGAGTGCGTAAACCTGAGTACTGCAGATGTCATTGTACTTATCAGCCCTTATACAACTATTCAGTCAATTGTGTCAAAAGTTCATGATGACAGCTTCATACTGAGTCTGTGTTTGCATAAACACAGGAAAACTGCTCTGGAGCGGCCTGGTCTGAAGGATCTGGGGATTACACATATCCTGAATGCAGCAGAGGGAAAGTGGAATAATGTGCTGACTGGTGCTCAGTACTACAGAGACATGGAAATCCAGTATTATGGTGTAGAGGCTGATGACAAACCCACTTTCAACATGTCCCTGTACTTCAGGCCTGCAGCAAATTTCATCCACGAGGCCCTCGCTCGCCCACAGAGTTAGTCTTCCGGGACTCTGAGGAAACCTTTGAGTTCATTATCTGGAGGATAAGTTTGTTTGTTTCTAATAAATCCATATATCTTCATTTTTTCTAGACAAGGTCCTGGTGCACTGTGTGATGGGCCGGAGCAGGTCAGCGACACTGGTCCTGGCATACCTGATGATGAAACACAATTTAACTGTAGTGGACGCAATTGAGCATGTGCGACAGCGCCGCTGTATCCTGCCCAATCACGGCTTCTTAAAACAGCTCAGAGCCCTGGACATTTCACTGCAGGAGGAAAGGCTGAGACAAAAGAAAGAAACACAGGACCAACAGTAAATACTAAGAAAGGAACTTAAAAATGTATTTTAACTTAATGTCATGTTTTCATGGATATTATTTTTTTCTTTTAATAATTAAAGTCATGTTTTCAGTAACCGAGTATGAGTCTCATTAAGTTACTCACTCTGATTCAGTCCATAACTCTGTTTTCATGTAGAAAAGATGTCCTTTTCATAAGATTAAAGTGGTCTTAAAGAATAGTTCTCCAGGCTTCCTGAGGTTCTTTTAAAGTTTTTCTTTGGACATTTGTTGCTTTTTCATTTGTCCTGTCATTTTCAGCCTAGTCCTTGTAACTGACCATCTAATGCTATGTTTCACATGATGAGCCAGTGTTGTGTGTATACAAAACAGGCAACATAGCAAAGAATCCATCTGAATTTGTCTTTAGGCACTTTGTTACTAGTGGTTTGTTACAAAAAGACACATTTTTTTATTTGAATCTGCTGCAATCTTTAAAGAAATGAAGAAATTATGAACCAACTGCTTCATTTTTTAGTATATTGATGCCAAACACACTGCCAGAGCCCTGCAGAACGATTCCTGCAGACAGAATTTTGTTGCCATCTGCAGAAAGTTAGTGAGTACTGCAAATGTATTACAAGATCTCAGGGAGTGGCTCAAAACCTTTTGACCACAAAAACAAAGTGTTAGTTACAGTAACTGAAGAGAAGAAAAACCCTTTGTTTTAGGTATTATCCAAACTCTTCTACATAAAGAAAGGAGGCCATAACGAGCCATGAGAGAAACCTCTGAAATATGAGGTGCACTTCACATTATATAAAAAATATGAGACACAGAAAAACATTATGATAAAATCTGTTTATTTTTTCATTTCAAAATTTACCACAATGATGGGCAAACTGAAAATTGTTGACAGTAGGAACAAACAGGTTATAAGGCTTTTTTGGTGTATCTGAACATGTGAAGGAAGCCATGAAATTTAGGGACAGTGACCAATGATTCAGTCCAACCAGATACAGATTTGACAACACCTCTTACAGTATTTAGTCCTACACATATTTCTTACCTTTTACATAAACTTTGAATAAAGTTATATTCAAGTATTCAGCGTTTATCTCACCAGTGTATGAATCACAGCACAGACATTAATACAGACGGTTTATAACACTTGGCCCCAGATACGATTTTCCTCCAATTTCTTATGAATCTTTATTTATTACTCGAGAAAACAGATTTGATTTAAAAAAAAAAAAAAGGGAAAAAATAGTTATTTTTAAAAAAATGATTTAACAGAATTGCCCCGAGGGTTTGCCATGACAATGCAGGAGAATGTTAAGTCAATTGAAAAAATAAATAAATCAACTGAGAGAAAAAGTCTGCTTTAATGCCCACTGTATTCTTCTGGCAGAGAACCCCCAAATATAATGATGGATTCCCAGAAACGCATTATATATAGAAGGGAGGTCATGCTTATACATCAATACTCTCACAAGCTTACAAGTTTCCCTGCAGGCTCATATAACATCCCCAGGCCTCTGCCCATCAAGCCTGCAAATTGCTAGGGAGAAAGAAAGGCACTCATTATTTGATGCCGGTAACGTTTGAATAGCACTGACATAATCAACATTTTGCAGCTTTCACACAACTTAATAGGCAGAGGCCTTGATACATTTAAAAAAAAAATGTACACTTAAAATGCCATTTGATTCACAAATGGCATTTTGTGAATGCTAAATCATAACATAATCAAATAAATCACTGCAGCACATTTCTGAGCCGCATTCAAAACCTCATCAGGGTTTTATTATTTAGTCCTGTGTGTGTGTAAATGCATCCTCCTGTTGCTGTAGCTGTTTGTGCTTGGACTCTTGTCTCCAAGGGGACAAAATAACACACAAAAAACATAAAACAGACTCACACGATGTTGACATGGTTTTTCCACGAGAGTCTGATGGGTGTCAGTGCATCCACATGCAAGAAATGTCAGAGCTGAAGTACAGTTCGAAACTGTAGAAAACAAATGTCCGTGAGAGCAGGATTTTATAGTTAGAGCCCTTTTTGTAAAGGACAATTACCACATTTCCTGGTGTTTCCATGATTCCTTTATGGTAATTTATTTAAACGCATTAAAAGTTCCCTTGGTTCTTAGCATGGAAGATGGGCACATGAACTAAGAACTGATAAGAAATGATGTGTGGATAAATTAAAAGAAAAGAAAAAACTTGAAGTAAAACACAGTTGAGGGTTGCACTTGTAGAAAATAGTGGAACTTATATGTTGGGGTTGTGGAAGCAGAGTGGGTATGAGGTTTCACGCTGAAGGAAAGGCTTTCCTGACGAATCCTCACTTGAAGTCTGGTTTTTCTGGGAAGCTGCAGCCTGCTCGCTGGATGATGACGTTGGCAGCGTAGTGTGCCGCCTTCACACACTGATCCAGAGGTTTCTCCTGGACAAGCTCAGACAGGAAACCTGTGTTGCAAAAAAAAAAAAAAAAAAAAAAAAAAAAGAGGCTTCCACAATAAAAATCAACAGAAGACTCAAGACTGAAGCAAATCAACCGAGGCACACAAAAAAATAGCAACACCGGGGCCTCTTACCTCCTACGAAGGCATCGCCTGCACCGTTTGTGTCAACAATGTATTTGGGGTCAGTTTTCACTACAGGGAAGGTTTCAATCTTGTCACCTGGAAAGACGAGGAGAAAAACAGTTCACTTCCACACAAGGACAAGAGACAGAGTGAAACAGATGCCAGGAAATGGGGGGAAAAAAAAGAAGGAAATATTACTTTGAGCCATAACCGTTTCATCCTTCCCCTGAGTAATAACTACAACCCTCTGCCTCTTTTTGTTGTCTTTCGGTAGAGCCTGGGCTTTCCTGGCAATTTCCTTAATGTCCTTTGTCTGTAGACAAAATACACATCGACACACAAAGCAGATGATACACAAATACACAGAAAATCCAGCCTTTTTCTTGTGTAAATGATAAAGTCTAACAGTCTACTCACATCAAAGTCTTGCTCTTTAGCAAAAGCAGCTGCCTCCTGAGAAAACAACAGCAACAAAGATCACATTGAGTTAATCTGAAATATGTGCAAATCATCAACGTTAGTGTGGAGATTTCACTGTGAGAACTGTGGCTTACTGTCTCATTGCCAAACAGCACATCAACGTAGGGCATAACCTGCATGAGGTTATCCTTAAAGAACTGGCAGATGAAGGGCGCAGAGAGGTTCATGCAAAAGAGCTTGTTATTTTCGGAAGCATGCTTCGCTACTTTCAGGATGGACTCCAAGGAGACAGTCAGGAAGAAACCCTGGAAGGAAGGAACGACACTGGGTCAGGACTAATCTGCTTTTTATATCTGATGGGTCTAATGAGTCACATACACTAAAGTCTTCAACAAAACAAAAGCCCCACATTGAGGGCACAAAGGTGAGTGAGAGCACAGAACGTCAGGCAGGACAGTCATTGTCACAGTTAAACCACTGAGTTATCACAGATTAATCCAAGCACGTGTTTGTGGTGCTGCTTTCGTCTTGACTCACGCTGCCAAACAATCTGAGCACGCATGATATTAACCATCTCACAACCATCATCCACGCAGAGCACGAGATTCACATAATGAATACCAACAACACAGGAAGATCCAAGAACCATAAAAAACAACACGGGTGAAGGCTGGATACTGAGAGAGATGCAGATCAGTACCAGGGTAAAACATAAGTGATTATGCAAGAGCACAGAGCAGGCCAAATAAGTGAACGCCGCCCTAAGTTAGGCCAGACTCACACAGGCTTAGAGGCCGGTCAGTGACCTCCCCACACACCAAAGGTCGCTAGGGGGGAAAAAAGCATTCCTGAGTGGTAGCCCAATGGTTGCTACAGGCTGAAGGCAGTTGCATGATGAAATTGGTTGCAAGGAATTTATGCTGCTTCACTGAGATTGCTCTGGTCGCTTGTCTCGTCTCCAAATGCTCGCCGCCCTATAGTGAATCTGTGAAAATGCGACAGATCCGGAAATGGACACCGTTCGCCTTCAAAGTAAAAGCTGAGCCTCAGCGCTGCAGCCAACACTTTCTAAAAGGAAGTTGGAAAGGGATGTTGGACTTTTTCTAAGTTTTACTACAGCCCAGTGAGTAGTTAGTGAGTTACAGACAACTTGACTCGAGGTTGCCAGGTGGTCACCAACCATCTCCAGGCCCATGTGACCACAACCTCAAAGTAATTGGGTGGAACAGTCTTAAATTACAAACCACTGGACAAAAAACAAAACAAAACAGAGGCTTGTGATATGACTCCATGCCCACCTTAAAGCTTCATTAAAGTGGCACAAATTAGCATACAGTGATGTAATACTTACAGCAATGTAGTAGACTTTAGCTTTTTCCACCAGCTTCCAGTTCTCCTCTAGGTCTAGATGTTTATCCTTCTTATAACAGTTAGCAGCAGCTAGGTTAGCCACCAAAGACCTGAGAGCGGAAAAGTAGTGAAACACAGGTTTATAAACAGGTTAGATCACACTGAGTTTGCATGCTGTTAACATTCAATTACCCACCTGTTATCTGCGGTGATGCAAGCAGCACATGTCCCCGTGGGCTCCTCGTCCTGCTCGTAGTAGTGGGCGTCGACGTGCACCTCCTCAGCCTTCTGCTTCAGGATCTCTCCAAACTTGTCTTTGCCAATGCAGCCAAAGAACGTGCCCACCTTATGAGGTTCTTGGATCATCCACTGTAGACAGTAACAAAACCTCGCATCAATATCAGCCAGTCCATCCTGCGCACAGAGGGCAACATTTACACTTCAAATGAATCTCACCTGAGCGATCTTTATGGAGTTCTGTGTGGCTCCTCCAGCGTAGTATTCAACCTTGAACTTCTTCACCAGCTCCTCGAACCTACAGAAAGAAACAAAGGTGTGACTGACATTTCCAAAAGGAAAGTGTGTCAAACTAGATAGGGCCAATCACTAATCAGAAGTTTGAAATCTAGAGCAAAGGATTAATAATGATGACTGGTCAAACCGTGCGTTACAATCCAATGTTGTCAGTGTTTTGTTTTATACGCGACTCCTCCCACCAGAGGATGGCTGTGGGTTTTTTTCCCCCCTTTCTCTTTTAGGAGGTGGACACCTGGGCGTGCCTTCTGAGTAGTTGGGTGGAGTCTCTTCCTGTCCTTGGATTGGATAATTGGATAATCACCTCCAGTATTTAACTACCAGATGACAGCCACCTGGCCCCCTCTC